ATTTGGTGACAGGCCTCCTGGGGATTCGGAAGGCCACCTGGCAGCTGCTGAGCGCACTGGTGGTCGTGACAGAGTTTTAGGGGCGGAAATGAAGGCCCCGTCTCCAGCATCAGCCGTCAGACAGGAAGGGACACCAGGGCCCGTGGGAACACCGTGACAGCCACCGTCTTCGCCCCCAGGTTTACGAGCTGACCTTGCATTACGCCCAGCACCCGGACCACAACGTGGTGACCGGGGCGCTGGAGCTCCTGCAGGTTGAGTCTGGGCCAGGGCAGCGATGCCTCAGCTCCTCACCAGACTTTCAACGAGGTGGGTGCCCTCTGCACAGGGAGCTGATGTGTGGGAAGGGGAGGGGCAAGATGGGGTCGCTCTGTCTGCGTGGCTGCCTCCAGGTGGCGTCTCGTCTGTCTTAGAGTGAACCTGGCGCGGAGAGGTTTCCAGGGCCTGTCACCTGTCACTTTGCCGGAGATGGGTCTTGGGTCTCCAGGGCTTTGTTCCTGCCGCCCCCTGGGTCTCTGTTTCTGTCCTCACCGACTTTAGGAAAGCTCTCCTCGCCGGCCCGTCTCTGCTTGCTCCCACTGTGGTTGCTCTGGGGGCCCTGAGCCACCCGGTGCTGCTGCCCCTGCCTCCTGGTGTTCCTGCAGCAGTGGCCCTGCCTGACATGGAGACGCCCCTAGGAGCTGGGGTAGACGGGAGCCTTGGGTCGCACCTGGGGGCTTCCCTCTCTCCCGGCCTCTCCTCGCCTTGTGGTGTGCGGTCCATGTAGTGCATTGCGTGTGCGTGTGCATGCGTGTGCCGGGAGCAGAGGATGGTCATGTGCCCGTTCCCTGTCCTTGTACTGGAGAACCTTTTCTCTACGGAATGCGCGCCTTACAAATAATCGCCAAAATACTCATTTCTAATGGTGGTTCCTAACGAAAATTTATACTTGCTTATTAGTTGACCAGAGAATCTGAGATTTCTGATGGTTCTAATTTGGCTTTTTACATGCAGTGTATATGCACTCTTGACATGTTAGGCCTGAACTGTATGTATATTTGCGTGGTGATGTAATGTTCGTGGCAAAATTAAAGCAGAGCACTGCCTTTTGGAAATACGTTCTTCTATTCTCTGGCTTTACAGTTGAATCATGCTTTTTGAAAATATTTGAATTCCTTCTGAATTTCACAGCTCGCTGCCTCACTTTCCTCTGTCGTTCTTTTGTGATTTACAGCCGGAGGGGGTTCCCCATGCAGCCCTGTCCTTTCCAGAAAACAAAAAGGTGATTATTTCAGAAGTCAGTCTGGGCCTTGCTGACTGTCTCTGTCCGATGCCTTGCCTGTGGGTGCATGCTGCTGGGTCGGGCCTGGCAGGTGCTGGCTTCCACACTGCCACGGTCAGGATTGCTGTCGTCAACTTGCCGGCTTTGGGTCAGGGCTGGGCTCCCGTTTCAGCCCCGGCGCCTGCCTGTGTCCTCCGCCGCCTGCCTGTGGCGTCCTGAGCTAAGGGTGCGGCCGCCTTCCAGTCAGACTCATCCCTGAGCGGGCGGCCTGCTTTGCCTGCTGTTGCACGCAGCGCCACGCGTTGTTTACCAAGGTGGCCTGTCTTCCCAGTCGGTTTTGTTGAGTCAGAAATAACCATCGGCTAATTAGTTAACTGGGGCCTGGGGTATTCCAGCCATATTTGGCATTGCACAGGCCAAAGTGTTCCGATACAATTAATTATTTTTATTAGATCAAAGTGTTTCTAATAAAATCTGACAGTTTGGGTACATACCATCACTTTGCAACAGCATTTATTTTCTTGTCCAGTCTAGATTTCTATAGGAGGTAATTGCTGCCATTTTTAATTTTGAAATCTTACAAGACTAATTCTTTTTTTAAATTGAGGTATAATGGGCATACAACAGACTAATTGTTTTGTGTCATGAGTTTTGTGTGTATTTGAGAGCCCGATGCTAATGTTACAGGCAGTTGAATGCCGTCTTTGCAGGAATAATGTGTAGCCGTGGCTAAGTTAAAACATTTCCTAGACGGACTCGGGCTCTGATTGGCCGTCACAGTGTGGGCCACTTCATGGCCTCGGAGATTTTGGTGAGCACTAAGCTTGTTCACAGCCGAGCCGCTAGGGGAGTGAGTCCGCTCTCTCCTGGGGTCGGAGGTCCCGGGCCCGCGGGTGTCCCTGCGATGCTGCGCTGGCCTCAGCGGCACTCCGGCGAAGGCGGGCAGGCGCGAGGCCCGCGCGAGGCGTGGCTTGTTTCAGAAGAGCCTGGGCAGGCCCTCAGGTTCTTCTTTGCTTTTCCAGCGTTTTCTGTTTTGGTTGTTTTTTCCGTCAGCTGTAGTTTCTAACTTCTTTGTTGCAGCCTCAGAATTCTCTTTTCAAATGACACCTGCCGGTACATAGGAGAGACAGCGGCAGGTTTGTTTGGGATGTAGGGTCAGGTGAGGCTGGGGTGTGTGTGGCCCCCCTTGGGGAGGGCTCCTGGGGACAGACTGCTTTCTTCAGCACCTGAGCACGGGGCGCAGGCCTTTCTCCAGACCCCCCGCCTGGCCTGGGATAAAGCACCCCGTATGCGGGAGGCCCGCCGCTCGCTGGTCCGTGTCACCTCCATTTGGGGTCTCCTTTGTTGTTTTCTGCTTTGCCTTTAATGTCACATCAGTGTAAATTTGGGAAGTCGTCGCACCTGTGACCTGTTCTTTAAAGAGCAGTGAAATTAGAAGTTGCCAATAATTATTTTGTTACTCTCATTTAATGACACTTATATGTAATGTAACCATAAGATTTAATGAGTCCAGTTAAGTCACATTCAAACATTTGTTTTCTTTTTATGTGAATATAGCCTGGAAACTATAAACTGTAAAGTGTATTTTTTGAATTTTGTAAAAGATGAAATATTTCAACCTCCCAGATTGTACAGAGCTTGAGTTATGATTAACCTTAGAATCTAGCCAATTAAAAGATAATAAAAGTGGCCTTTAGGAGTAGACGTTTTATGTGTAAATTCTGATACGCCATTGGAGATGCGACAGGAATAATAGAAGGGCTGATAGAAGTAGTTCTCGCCATAACTTGCCGTCTTTAGGTTAAACAGTAATAGAAGTCATGTGATGCTGTCACACGTGCCAATAAGTGTTTGTAGTTGTTCCGGCGCGGTGCAGCGCCGCCTGAGAGCCATGCTGTCCAGGGTTTTCCGTGTGGACGTGCTGATGGTCTTAGTGCCCCCACGGACCTGTGCTGTGTTCAGCGCTCCGGGCAGAGCGCCCTTACACAGTGACAGGCCGCACGGGTGCGCTGCCTGCGCTGCGGAGTCCTCCTCCCCAGCTCAAGGCGCTGCCTCTCTCCTAGGGAAGGTGCTCCTGGGGGAAGCGGCGGCCTTGGAGGAGGACTCCGAGTCCCGGTCCGAGGGCAGCAGCCCGGCCTTCGCAGGTAGCTCTTGGGGTGACGGGTGACGTGGGGGCCACTCCCTCCTGCCTCTGCCCTCCTCCCTGTCCCCCCTCCCTCCCTGCTCCGGGGCAGTGGTGGAGCATTCAGGCCTTTCATGGGTTCCCTTTGGAACGTGTGTGTCTCCTTGCATCCGACACTTGTTGTTTCCCTGGGTGTCGGCAGCTTCACTACTAGGTCCATGTTCCGAGCGCCAGCTTCTGAGGAGGGTGGTGGGTAACAGGGAAACGCGTGGGTTGTGGGGGGAAAGGGATTACAAACCGTCTACGGATGATTTAAGAAGAATTCTGCATTTGTTCACAGATAGTTATCTAATGAGGTAGGAGATTCTTTATTCACCTTTTAAAGGATGAGTATTGACTAAGACACTAATAATTGGATTAAATGAGAGTGGTTTGAATTATATAATTCTATTTGAAAGAATGTTTTAGGTAACTTATTTGGGAAGGAAAATCTGAATCATCCCAATGGTGATTATGTATTCATTTATTTTACAAAGTAGAAATCAGTGTTCTAATTACGAAAATAAAGCTAAAGTAAAATTACAGCTACAATAGTACAGCTCAAGTGCTCGCTGACCCACGGGCTCCAGGAGTGGCCACTGCTAGCGGGGTGGTGAGAGCTTCCTGGCGTGGTTTTAGGTGGGGCTGTCGTTGTTTATGGGAGTGAAGAATAAACCAGGAAACTGCACATCTGTGCTGCCGGAGAGTAGGCGCAGCGTTGGGTCGGAACAGGGTCTGAGGAGGAGGAAGGGCCACCTCGAAGCGATGGTGAATTTACCCTCGTTGCTTCTGAGCACTGCTTGCCCAGCGTGCCTGTGAGCGGCTCTGCCCAGCAGCTGTGGGGCTGCCCGCATACTCCCCGCAAGGCCCAGCAGCTCTGGGAGCTGCCCGCATACTCCCCGCAAGGCCCGGCAGCTGCGGAGGACTTGAAGTGCCGCCGGCCGCCGCAGCTGAGCTGCAGTGAGACAAACGCCTGTGGGAACACTGCAGATGTAACAGGCGCCTGCTGCTGGCCCGAGCTCTTCAAAAAATTAAAAAAATATAT